CTGTATCCCTTATTTCTTGTCCTTTTTGGATGCCCCCCTCTTTTCCTCCAATTTACCCTACTGCTTCCTTCCCCTTCAACTCCAGGAATAATCCCACTCTCAGTTTATCCTGCTTCTCTCTCATAAGCCATTTCATTGATTTTCACTTGATTTCATCATCCTGTTATTCGTCGATTGCCTAGAGCAGGCCCCAGTAACGTCTCTTTCATCCTAGCCCTGAGATTATATTCAAGGCTCTTTAGGAGAATGAGACCCATCATTGTTACTGGTATTTGGCATATTTGGTACGCCACGGGGAGTTTGCCAGACTCTGCCCTGTGGGCAGGCTACATTTGATAGCCTGCAAGTTTGTCCAAAGTAGGAATGAGATAATAAGATGTCATAAGATGTCCTGATAAGACGTCACGTGGCCGCGAATGCGAATGCGAATGCGGCCGCGCGGTTCCAGGAGCTGGATTTTATAGTCTCTGAGTCTTGGCCGTTGATGGTATTACACGGCACCAGGGGGCCAGGTGGTGGGTGTGACCCCCGCCTACTGGGATTTGGAGGATCTGGGTGGAAGATGCTCGACTCGAATCCGAGTAGGCTTGGAGATCTCGGCCCCGGAACCTGCGTGGCTTTGTCCCTCTGCCAGTACCTTCATGTGTGCGGAGAGTGGTCTCAGCATGGTGGTGGCTGGTCCTGGAGGTCTTTGGCTGCTGGAGCCCTGGTCAGGGCGGGGAGGAAAGCTCAACCCGCTCCCCTCCAAGGGGCCTCGGTGAGGAACAGCCAGGCGCGGGGGCAGAAGACTGCACTGTTCTCGTCTGGGAGTTGGATTTTATAGTCTCTGAGTCTTGGTCGTTGATGGGATTACACGGCGCCAGGGGGCCAGGTGGTGGGTGTGACCCCTGCCTACTGGGATTTGGAGGATCTGGGTGGAAGATGCTCGACTCCAATCCGAGTAGGCTTGGAGATCTCGGCCCCGGAACCCGCGTGGCTTTGTCCCTCTGCCAGTACCTTCATGTGTGCGGAGAGTGGTCTCAGCATGGTGGTGGCTGGTCTTGGAGGTCTTTGGCTGCTGGAGCCCTGGTCAGGGCAGGGAGGAAAGCTCAACCCGCTCCCCTCCAAGGGGCCTCGGTGAGGAACAGCCAGGCGCGGGGGCAGAAGACTGCACTGTTCTCTCTGGGAGTTGGATTTTATAGTCTTTGAGTCTTGGTCGTTGATGGGATTACACGGCGCCAGGGGGCCAGGTGGTGGGTGTGACCCCCGCCTACTGGGATTTGGAGGATCTGGGTGGAAGATGCTCAACTCCAATCCGAGTAGGCTTGGAGATCTCGGCCCCGGAACCTGCGTGGCTTTGTCCCTCTGCCAGTACCTTCATGTGTGCGGAGAGTGGTCTCAGCATGATGGTGGCTGGTCCTGGAGGTCTTCGGCTGCCAGGGCCCTGGTCAGGGCGGGGAAGAAAGCTCAACCCGCTCCCCTCCAAGGGGCCTCGGCGAGGAAAAGCCATTAGGTGGATAAAAAAAAGTACAGGTTTTTAATTTTTAGAGAACTAGCATTGTATTCCAGATGTATTATTTGCTAGCTGTGAGACTACTTTCATATACTTAACCTCTCCTTTCTTCAGTTTCTGCCTTTGTATTAAGGCCAAAATTATACTGAATTGTTAAGTCACCTAAGCTATATACACAAGGCCTTGGACATAGTATAATCTATTAACTGTTAGTTATTTTTCTCTTCCAGGTAGAAATGACTATAAAATTAATTTTATTAGCATATGTATTTGATGAGCCACTTCCCAGTAGTTAGCCTTTGCTTCCAGGCATTTTCAGCGGTAGCTCCACATCAGTTTGTTGTAGGTACCTGCAAACCTGTCGAGGTGAGAGATACTAAGTAGTTGATTCTCCTTAAGCACTTCAGTAAACAAAGACTCTAATTTTCTGTTGATTTTCCTTTATATAAAATTTTGTCTTAGCAGAGATTTTTTAAATGGAGGAATAGACTAACTACTCCTGTTATGATTATTTGTTCTACCTCAATTATTTAGAAATGAGGGGATTCCGGTATGTTTTGATCCAAGGATATAAAAATGTTTATATTCTGCTCATCTATGGGATCCACAAAGGAGATACTTGAAAGGAGGAAAACATATTATTAGGAAAGTTTAAGCTTGTGTAGTGCAGAGTACTGGAGAAGACTGGAAGAGATGACAGACTCCTTTCCCTTGTGAGAAGGTTTAGTGACCAGGAAGCAGGCTCTCATTCAGTTTAGTCTGATTCCCTTAGGTCAATGCTGTGGTCAGACATTAACACTGCATTTAAGGGGAAAGACTGCTCTTACACCCTGTGTGCCTTGGTGTCAAATACAGCACTGAATTAATCCTTGGACCTTGGGTTTGCATTCCACTGAAGCACAGATCTGAATTGTTTTGGGTGGGAAGATGAAGAAATGGTCAGGGGAAAAAGAAATAATATATCTACACAGTCATCTTTACAAAATTTCACCTTCAAATATTAGGCACATTCAAATATTGTCACACTGTTGCACTGTCCTCCCATCGTTCATCGATTTGCTTGAGCAGGCCCAGTAACGTCTCCAGTGTGAGACTTGTTGTTACTGTGTTTGGCATATTGAATACTCACAGGTAGCTTGCTAGGCTTTGCCATGTAGGCAAGATACTCTTGGTAGTTTCCTGGGCTCTCTGAGAGGGGCAGAGGAATTGAACCCGGCTTGGCTGGGTCCACCTCACGCAAGGCAAATGCTCTACTGCTGTGCTATCGCTCCAGCCATTCAAATATTAGGATGCAAATTTTTTTAAATGCAAAAAAAAAATTAAAAACCTTTATTCCATGAATAAAATTAAAATCTGTCTATATTAATAGAGGTTTATGTAGTACAGAATACTGGAGAAGACTGGAAGAGATGACAGTCAGATGTCATTATCTTATCGATATTCTCAACCCTAAATCAGTGTTCTATCCTGATTCATCTTGGGAGTTGTTAAATGGGTGCTGGTTGAAAGGATATTGTTACTGAAACATCCCCTAAATGGTCTCTCTTTCTAATCTCTACCCTTCATTGTTCTCATTTAAGTTCAGACTCATAACAGTATTTGGTGATTAAAGGCCTTTGTACTCTTGTCCAAATAACTTCCACTCCCTTTGCCATACTCCCTTTCCCCACTACCCATAACTGCACCTATAGCTTCACTGCTGTACTAGTGTGAAAACACCACTTACTTGGCCATTACCACTACTTTGCCTCTTCCCTTCTCTTGGAATTCTTCCCCCATGCACTAGTAACTTTCAATTCAAGTGTTGTATTCTATGGAATTGGTTCCTTGACATCCCCTTGTAGAAAATAAATTTTTTTTTCTGGGACCTCAACATAACTCTATCAATACTATGTTTCATGATAGTTTGTAGTTCACCTCCCTCCTCCACATAATTGTGGATTACTATTCCTTGTAGTAGGGAATATGTCTTATATTTCATTCATTTTTCATTTATAGATTTATAGTTACAAATAAATAAATTTTCATTATAAATTTGTTGAATTTTTGTTGTAAATACAGATTCAAAATGTTAACCATTTTTTATATACTTCTACAGACATTTTTAATAGCAGAAACTAAAGAATAAGAAAAGAAATACTTTATTACTCAGAAATCAGCCTCAGTTTCAAGGAAGATTCACTCACCACACAAGATTAACATTTTGTCCTCCTAAAATAAGATTGCATCAGATATGATAATCTGTTGCATGGTTTTGCATGTAATTAAGATAATGATTTTCTCCAGTTTAATGCAGAAAATATTTGTAGTGCTTGTAAAGTAAAACAATGATTATTACATATATTTTTAAAATATTATTAATAGAATTATATTTTGATTCATAGGTATCACAATATTTGAGTGCAGCCGTGAGTTCATGAATTCGCACTTGTTTCTCTTCTGAAAGTTTTTTCAGAGAATGGTAGTATGTTTTCTCTTTCCAAAAATCTGAAGTCCAAAAAGCACAAATCCTCTCTTAGAAACAGTGAGCAGCTCTGAACTGGTCTTCTTAACAAGAACCCTAATGTTCTCAGCTCAGATTATCTCACTCTGTTCCTGTGTCCTTTTTCTGGTTCTGGCTGATTCTCAGTTGCAGTGTTTGCAGAGGAATCACTGAGGTTAAGGAGAAAAGAGTCGTTGATGTGCAAGCCTGGGAACTGCCCATAGATGAACCCTGTCATGGTCTGGAAGGACTTGTCCAGTTTTGACACTGCTGTGACCCCTTTATGACTGACCCTCCCTGAAAATTAGGAGCGTATCACACATAGTGTAAAGAATTTTTAACATAGGGGCTCGAAAGAGAACACAGGGGATAAGCACATGCTTTGCATCCAGATGACCCCTCTTAGTTCCTCAGTACTACATGATCCCTGGAGCATCATGAGGCATAGCCCTGACAGCCTCTGAGCACCACTGTGGTGGTTCAAATAATAACCGCACTGCAGGGCCCAAGCAGCTGTGCATCCTGATGCCTTCACTCTGAACTGCTGGCAGGGCTGGCAAAGAGTCTCTGGGAGGGGTCCACAGCCTCAAGGGCACCACTTGAGACTCCCCAAAATGGGCACAAAAATAAAGACAAAGATTCCTACTCTACTGAATACAAGTTTGAAATGAAAATAGAATGATAATGTTAGTAAACTCACAGTAAAAATTATTTTAAACTGCATAGCCTATATGTGTTACCTTATGCTCACTAGTTTCTTAAACTGAAGGTAGGAAGTAGATAGGACTCTTTGGGCCAGGATCCATTAAGGACATCCACCAGACTCCCCTCTCAACTGTCACTTTTGATTGAAATCAGCAAATATATGTTTTGGCAAATCTCTTCCTAATTTGTCTTTCCTTGCAGATATCCCATGTAATTGCATTTCTCATCAGGGAGTTAGTTGAAGTTTTATGTATTGACAGTTGGCTGTGATTGATGACAATTGTCTTGTTACAATATTTTTTTCTCTTCTTAAACCTGCAGAGCAAAGCTAAGGAAACTTTCCAGTTTAAATAATTAAAAAGAAGAAAAACTTCAGATAAGAAGGTCTTCAAAGGTAGGAGTTTATCTTTTCCAATGGTCTAAATGAGTAGTTTAAGAAGGGAATTAGGTCATAACATGACATCATTATGTACTACTCTTGCTATATTTAATAGCAGTTAAGAGAATATGACAGAAGACAGGGATGAAGCATATTAATGCAAATACATTAATTATATTGCTTGTCAAAGAGGATGAATCAAATACACAAAGAAGAATACCAGTCTTCTTCATGTTCTTTCTAGTAATAAGATTTTTGTTTTACCAAAGTCTGCACCATAGAGCTCAGCAAATAGAATAAAATTATTGCTTATGAACAATACATTTTTGGAGTAAAGAAAGATTTTAAATTATAGGAAATTTTTTATAAGAAAATGGTTTTTTTTCAATTAATCATATATCAAAACTCTCAAGAGAAGATACAATCATCTGTACATGATTTTTCTTCTCTCTCACTGAAGTCCACATAATATAAAAGTCTGTTGGGGGAATTTAAATATTACTTTGTTACATGCTTTCTACTTTTGAATTCCTTTTTTTTACTCCTCACTTCCCACCCTCGCTGCCCACCCCAATCCCATTTATGACATTTAGAATTATCAGCTCTACAATGGATTCTGCCAGGCCTGTGAAGTTTTCTGAAAGGCTGTTTATTATAGTATTGAACTCGATGAAAAATATCTTTCTTGGAGATCTGAAGCACAGTTCAAGCAACTGTATCTCAACCAATAGTGACTTCCTTAAGGAATTTATGAGAACATGATTGTTCAGACATTTAGTCTTTTCCCTCTTAGGTTTCATCTAGCAAATAAGAAATTCTCTTTCAGCGTGTTAAGAGAAACTTGTATACAAGATTTTGAGAAAGTGAAGTACTTAAAGCATATTGTTCCAGAATTTTGGGGGAGGGAATGGAGGCATACCAGTGGTGCTCAGGGTTTGTTCCTGGCTCAGTTCTCTAGGGACCATATAGCAAGTGCCTTACCTGCTATCCCAGTATTCTTAAGTTCATTCATTAAAGTGTTGTTTTGCATTTAAGAGAAAATTATCCGTGCCATGGTTAAATTTGCTTCTATTTGTGTTGCATTGAACCTGACTTCAGCAATTCTTAACAGTTCTTACATCAAAAATTCCCAAGCCAGTAGCATGGAAACTAAGTATATTACTTTGTAAATTGAATAGTACACAGTTTTCTTTTTCTGCATGAAAAGACCTAAAAAGGTGAAAATTAGTGAAAACCAGCATAAATGCTGAGTTAGGTCATTCTGAATGAAACCAAAAGAGCTTGAATTGTGTGTAAACAATTCCTTATTAGAAAACTCTTTTAATGTAAAATTGCTTATTTTTTTTATAAAATTCTAATATACCTATTCAAGTCTTCTTCAGCAAGACTCTGGATTTCATAAAATAAAGAAAACCTACTAAGTAGGACAGAGTAAGAGTAAGTGCCATCCATCACAATGGTAAGAAGTTAGAAATTGATAATAGTGGTATTAGGTAAAGTGGTCAGTCAGTAAAACATAGTACAACAGTAAGTTATAGGAAATTATTCTGTATATTATATATTGAAACCAAATATATAAGTAGAATTAGAAAGACAGCCACACACATTACTTATTTGTAGATGGTGGTTTCTAGTAAAAGGAGAAAAAACAGGAAGACAGGGTAAGTGACAGGACCACAGGAAGAACTACCTGGTGGCCAAAATAGGCTAATCTGGGTGCTTTCCTGCTTTCTAGAGCACTCTCATTATATTTCAGAGTATTATTCAGGCAGATTTCCTCTGACATTTAGTACATGACAGAGATTTTATTTAAAATTTCTCTATTCCAATGCCACAACTGCAAAACAGTTTGTTTCCACCTCTTGTAACATGAACCTGTCATTGATGGTTTACAGCAAGCCTTTTGTTAAATGACTGAAATGGACTTTAAGTTGTCAGTCACTGACATCTCATTTGTGAATTTTCTAATCTGGTTGAAACTCAATGTATATGCCGTCTCCATTTTTCCACTTCCCTCACAAAGACTTGCTGAAGTGTCCAGAAATTCTAAAGCACACATATGAAAACAACCCACATGTCCAACAACAGATAGATGGATGGGGTTGTGGTTGGGGCTATAGAGATACTACAGAAGGCAGGGCACTTACCTTGCACATAGCTGACCCACGTTCAATCCCCAGCACCCCATAAGGTCCCCTGAGCTCAGCAGGAGTGATCCTTGAGTGCAGAGCCAGGAGTAAGCCCTGAGTACTGTTAGTTGTGGTCCAAATAACCAAACAAAATCATTAACTATTATTAGTTTTGATATTATCTATACAGAATGTAATCATTTTTTCTGTTTCTGGAGGTTGTTTCTGGAGAACATTCTGTATAGATAGAATGTCCAAGAATTCAGCCTCTGACATTAGAATATGAAGGGTTTTTTTTTCTTTCTAACTCCTTCCCAGTAGTCTTTCTGGCAGTTTCCAGTAGTCTTTCCCACATGCACTACTGCTTGGGATCCTAGAGATGTGAGAAATTCATTTCATAAACTTGCTGCATCTTTCTCTCTGGAAGGTGCTGCCATGGCATCCAGAGTCGCATATAAAAACTCCTTGGGTTGGATAGACAGCGCCAAGCACTAGAGCACATGGCACGTGCTTTCCATGCAGGAGGCTGGAGTTTGATCAACACCACTTGGACTCCCCACACTACTGGAAGCAGTCTTCAAGTATGGAGCTAGGAGTAGCCCTAGTACCACTACCTGTGGCCTAGTATAGCAGTGACTGGGGGAAAGGGATAAAAGCAAAACCATTTTCATTCCTCATTATCGTTGATATGTAAAGTCCTCCAAGGAAATTTTACTCTCTGCCTGACTTGAAAACTTTGAGCCCAAACGCAAGGTTGATCATGTTGGAATTTCAATAAGCAACCAGGGTGAGGAAGGAGATGGGAGCCGCACCTGCCAGCATCTACCTCCTCCCAGTCACTGTACTGATTGTGGTTCTCTTTCTGCTGTACCTCTTTAAGTTTGTTTCTAGTTGTAACCATAAAGAAGTTAAAGAAGAATAATGTCAATGCTATACCTACTTTAAATATATTCCCATTTGCAAACACATAAAAAGACAAAAAGTCTGACAAGTTATTGGAGTTACTGTTTGATTTTGGTGATGATCTGAAAAGTCTTTTCATGTGGACTCAGTACTTTTAACAATTATACAAACAGCATGGGAGAATGATGATTATATTCTGTATAAATAGTAGCAAAACTAGTAATAGTAAATATTTTGTTGTTTGGTTTTTTGGACTACACCTAACAGTACTCAGGGCTTACTCCTTGGCTCTGCACTCAACAATCACTCCTACTGAACTCAGGGGACTTTATAGGGTGTTGGAGATTGAACCTAGTTCAGCTGTGTGCAAGGCAAGTGCCCTACTTTCTGCAGTCTCTCTACAGCTCTAATCACAAATCTATACACCCATCTGTTGTTGGACATTTGGGTTGTTTCCATATCCTCCGGTGACATAGTCCTGTATATATATTTTGAATTAGTGTTTCTGAGTTTGGGGAATTGTTTCATATCAGTTAATATTGACTGGGTATTTAGTCATTTAGAAAAACAGAGTGTGAGTGATCTTTTCTTGTTTATTTACTTCCTCTTCACCCTGACATGTCATAAAGACAAGTGCCAGATTTCAGCTCAATGACAACATCTCTTGAAACATAAACATTCTTGGACAGTCCCTTCATTGTGGTCTTGAACTTTGGCAGCCACGGAATGAGTGATTGCCACCAAAGTGTGGCATTCCTACAATCCAGTGACAGGGCAATGAGAAATATTCTGTTCTTTTGTCCCAGTGTCCTGTCCCACTTCCCATTTCCATGTGTCTGAGTCGTCATGCCCTGTAACCTGGGATCAGAAGGAAGTGCATAAAATCTCATGTATAATCTTTCTGTAGAAAGATGGAATTCAGTCATTTCCTGATCGTTGTCTCTGAATTATTATTGCATCCATGCTTGAGATGCCTTTATTAACTACTTTCTGCCCCTTGCATTGTGTCCCCATGATTTTTCTAGGACTTGCCCGTTTTCTGTCTCCCTCCCACTTTATTCCTGCTATCTCCCTCCCACTGTTCTTGGATGCTCAATTTGGTAGCTGTTTCTGAAAGCATAGAAACAGCAGATGAAAGATATTTGAAGAAAGGCATCAACATTTTCCCTTGAGATACAGTGGGAGGTGGATGGTTTACAATGGAAGTGATGAGAAAGGTGGGCTTGTGCTTTTGTGGCAGCAATTTAGAGTGCTGGTGGGCAATAAAAGGGGTCCTTATAACTTTAGTGTATTTTTTACCTTTTCTTCTCTGTGAGCTAGTTGGAAGAAATACTGCTTTGAAATTGGAAGGGGAGAAAATTGTCAGACTCACTCCGATGCAGGAAAGATAGAGACACTTTGCATTTGAACATCAAATAGCTGATGCTCTTGACTTTGCAAATAGCTTTGCAACTACTTACTGGGTCAGATTTTTTTTTCATCCTGAAGTTCCAACTTGTAGTTTTGGAATATTGTCTAGGACCAACAGAAATAGAGCTGAGGAGGACCATCGATTATAACTTGGACCCTCACTGAAGTGCCACCGGAGAGGGGAGCCATAGTCCCCAACTCTGCTTCTAGCGACCACAGCATCTACTAAAATATTTTTCCCCTGAGAGGAAGTTTATTGAAAATGTTAACTATAAATGGCATCCCCTACCAACTCAAAGTTATGATCTTTACCTTCAGCGTTCTTATTACCAAGATCAACACTAATTGAACTTTAATTGCTCACCATAACCTACTGAGTGAGATACTCTGACTGTTGATAATACTGCAAAACCTTACATGTTCAGTTTCATAAATAGGCAAAGGTGGATAGGTATGTCTAGTTCTTTGGGTGTTTTATCAGATCCCTGCCTTTTGGCATCTGGAAATTTCATCCCTGGCTGCTTTTGTTGGGAGTCAAATCCTGACAGGAGGGTTATCTAGGAAACTACCCAG